TTTTATTGTTGTTTTGATGATTAAAAAAACATGAAACTTTTTTTAAAGTTTTTTTTTTTGTTTGTTTTGTTTTTTTCAGATGATGATGCAACAGCAGCCACAGCTCAGGGAGAAAAGAGGAAAAGAGACGCAGATGATGAAGGTGAAGACGACGATGACGAATAGGCCAGCCCCCCGCCCTCCTCGCTCCTCTGACTCCACCCACCCTCGGCTGTGACCAGGAAACACAGCGAGCTCAGGTCCACCATCAGTTCATCACACCACAGAGGACGGGGTCTTTAACCAGTGACATGTTTGCTCTAACTTTTTGGTGTGTGAATCTGAGTGAGAGAAAAGCCCTGTAAAAGCTACTGCTGACAAAATTTAACTGTTAGCTAACAAAACCTAAATATTTGTCACAGTGTTTGCCAACAAATAGACAGAAGCCCAAGGTGTTTGCTGAACATAAGGGTAGAAATAGCAGGGAATTGGCTCAAAAGAAATTAAATAGTTTTGGTGAAAATCCTCAAAGTTTTTGAATACTATTGCTCACAGTTGACCAAAAAAATACTTACCCCTAACGGTAACAAAAACCATGGCATGAACATGATTTAAAGTGAGCCAAGATTTTAACTTGAAATTGAATGTCTAGCTCACGATCACTACAGTCCCTTCTCTTCTCAACTGTTTCTTAGTAAAGAAGCAGGGAATTCTGGGACTTCTGACTGTTACTGGTCCTGCCCCAAACTTCAGCCAGTGGCTCCTCCCACTCCCTCTGTAAATAGATGTTTTTTTGTTTGTTTCTAGTGGTAAAGCCTTTTTATTTTTTTTATTTGTGATTTGTGTTTTTGAATAAAACAAAATTGTAAACATCAATTTTTTTAATTTATCTTGCAACTTTATTCCTTTTTTTGAAATGCTATATTTTGATGAGAAACATGCAGAAAAGATAACATTTTTCAAAGCCTGACCAAAAGTTTTAAAAGAATTAAAATAGACTTTTTCAAAAAAACTAATTTTTACCAAAAGTTTGTCAATTCATTTTAGTTATTGACAAAAATTACACAAAAAGTTTACATTTTGACAAAATTTTTAAAAAAATGTTCTCTAAATACCCTAATTTTACTAAAGAGTAGCAGAAAAAAGAAAACATTTTGAAATTGTTTACATGATTTTTGGCTTTTTTTTGTTTTTTCATGAAACTTTTGTTTTTTTTTT